TCTTGGTATTGGTCAAACATCATCTGAACAAGAAAGAGTTGTTGCTCCGCGAAGCTTTCCCGGGTAAATTGTCAGTATTGTTAATAAGTTGACGATAGTAAAAACTAAAAGTTCATGCGTACTGCAATGTATGTGTAGACTCTGTCCTACACAGATAGTTAGGACAGATCTTTTGAAACAATGTCACTTGAAGACATTTCAGGAGCGGTTCTGTGCTGCGTGATGACGATGCACCACCGTGAGAGTGCTGCTGGAGGATCATTGTCACGTGACACCAACAGCGCTATTGGCATTGTTCTGGGATTGTGCACCGTTGTGTTAATAAGTTGCACTAAAGTTCACACAAACGGACATTAATTGGCTTGAAAATTACAATGTTCAGTTGTTCCGCGCTCGCACTTCTTTGATTTTCTTGACGTATTTTGTGTTTTTTTTTTTAGGCTGTGGTTCTGGCTGTCATCCAAATCAAATAAAATTCCGTGCAGTCCCTGACGATGAAGACAGAACCTTGACATTCGTAGCCGGCTGCTCAGTTTGCAGATTTCGTGAACCCAAGGGGTTTCTATATCTGTCAGTCCGGCTTTTTTTTTGTAAATAGCCGGACTATCTGAGGCGTACAGTGGCCAGAACCGCCTCCTCCACTTGCTTTGCCGACATGCACTCGCAATCTTCACCAACTCTCACAGCTTCAATTCGGTTATAATAATTTACAGCGATTTGTCAATTCACTGCTGTGTAAAGGCAACATCATACCACGTTGATTTTGTGGGTTGTCTGATTACGTTTCACAACACAAACTAATAATGAGCGTCATGGCGGAGAATACCAAACAAATACACGAGCGATGGTCTCCGCATCATCTCTCTCTCTCCACGTACAACATCATCTCTCTCTCTCTCCACGTACAACAACATCTCTCTCTCTCTCCACGTACATCATCTCTCTCTCTCCACGTACAACATCGGCGCATTTCTTGCACGCACCTCCTCGCATTGGCCAAGGCAGGGTGAAAAAACGGGGGGTTGCTTCAAAAAAATGTTAACACTTCGGAGACTTTTCAATAATACCACAAGAAATGTGCTGCTGCCTCCGGGCTCTGGAGACCACCTGAGGAGGATTCCAGGCCACGTGTTAACAACGATGACGAACAAGTGGAGACTCTTTACCTTTTTGAAGCTATTAACATACATTTGTTATCATGTCACAGTGTATGATCCGTTCTTTTTCCTTTCAAAACGATAGCCCCATATAAGTGTTAAAATAAATGTTGAAGCACCCCCAGTATAATAACCCTCGCAACTCCGTTCAGGTGCGTTCTCGTTCACTCGCGGAGAACTCAAAGAGTCCAGGACGAGTTTCATTTGCACGAGTCGCCTTGGCCAGGAATCGAACTCTGATGGCCTGCAGGGTTCAAGCGTGATTGCGCAATCCACTGTCCCATGCCCGTGGTGTTGCTCGTTTGAGCTAAATAAGCCATCGTAAGCTCCATTAAAAGTTTAAACTTGCCGACTTTATTCCCAGGTGGATGCTGGCACAAATTTATTGAGCATTGTGCAATGACGTTTTTTTAGCGAATTAATATTTCAGGAAGGCCATGCCGCATGAGTACTGCAAGCGGAGCAGCTGGCCAAATGCAAACGATTCAAACGGAGTGAGACTCCAAGACTCGGCAACACACTGGGGTCGGTTTTCGTGGGGATTTTATTTGTATGTGGATGAAGGAGTCGAAGGTAAATCAGGTGAGCAGAAAAAAAATCTTAAATGTTTAGACCGCATTGGACTTCACGTGGGTCGAATAGGTTTGAGGAGAGAATTCTTGCTCGTTGTGCATATATACTGCGTACGCGGAGGAGTAGTGGCAAATTGTTTGGGCAGCGCGTGTTGAACAGCCTCGAACCTCAGCGGCGAACAATTTCTGAACCGGTCCATGGCTCCCCCCCTCCCCTGCCCCACTTCACCAACCTGCACTGGCCAAGGTGTCAAGTGTGGCTCAGCGGCATGGGATAGGCCTGCACCATGCAGCAGAGGATTGATACAAATCTGTACATTACAGGTATTTATGTGCGTGCACATAGAGCCAGTGGGCCAAATAACATTGCCCAAAATTTTGCCCGGTCTCGTATGAGAAGCTAAGCAGCTTTGAGCCCGATTCATACTTGAGTTGAACGATTACCAGCAACATTACCAGCAACAATATTACCAGCAACAACATTACCAGCAACAACATTACCAGCAAGAACATGTGTTATAGGCTGCGGGTTTTGCGGTGCTTTAGCACAGCAATGCAGCAAACCCATTGCCGAGTTGTTTATCGATACTCCCGCATCGATGCTTGCCCCCACCGTCACCGACTACAATGCCATTACTCACCAAGGCACCGTCCGACACCAACCACGACTTGCAGAGACGGCAGAACGACCTGTCCACATCGGGCTACGCCATACAGAGTCTTCTGCTGCTTGCGCTAATATCATTGCACTGCCCCCCCCCCCCCCACCTTGGATTTTTGGCTGAACTGCCAGAGCGGTGGTGGGGGCGGACTTGGCATGCGGATAGAGAACACTGTTCCAAAATGGATCGATAGTGTTTGTCGTGGTGAGTAGAGTTGCACTTTGGCTCGTGCACGTGCAGCCCTTTGTCAATGCGGGCCTCCCCATGCCATGTCCGCTACAGGGGGTTGTTTGACCATACCTCACCTTACTGGTCAGTGCCGGTTGAATGGAAGAGGGGAGGGGGTGTGTCAGTGGTGAGTTAATTTGTGCCCCGCGCTAATAATCCGGTGAAGCGAGTTTGTGCTCTGGCCACGGTTAACATCGGTGGCGAGGTGAAATCGAAAGTGGTCTGAGCTCCCTCACCATCCCGCACTGACCAGCCTGGTTCAGGAGAAGATAATCATTGCGCCTTGTGACGTGCACAGCATTCGCTCACTCTGAAAGAGAGAGGGGGAACGACTCGAGAGGCGCGAGGAACCAGACAAGCGGGAAAGGCAGCCACAAGCAGTGAGCTGGGGCTAAATTCTCCCTCCCAAACTCTGCGATCCTCTCTGTATAAGGTGTTATCGGCCTATTAATGAGTGTTCACTAGTATGAAAGACATGGGGTGGCCTTATTTCTTGATTGGATTGACATTTTGTACACGAGGCAGACTAGAGATAAAAAAGAGTAATGTACACCACATTCGTTTTTTTGTATATTAGCTGTGATAATCTGGAGTGGTGCGGAGTTAAACCTCCCTTGCGTGTGGACCACAGCATTTCGGCATTCAGTGCTCCCATCCCTAGGCGAGCCAGCAACCCCTCGTGTCGATTGTCTCAATTCCATTTGCACGCGCGCTCTCACCTGGCGGGAGAGGTCACGTTTAATAGCGTTGCTCACGTTGCTCTAATTCTTCCCCAGTGAATTATTTATGCAGTCAACCTATGCTGCCGCTCTTATTAAATAAATATATGGCGCGTCCACATTTCATAGCACATTCATTTTTTAATCCAAAGGTCTTGGGGTACAACTGCAATATTTTTTTGTTGCAAAAATTATACACGGATAATACGGGCCCACTATATATGTAGCCCATCATCCTGACACGGTCGTAGCAATTGGGATGCGGAGCAGCGGAGTGGATACGGGGTGGCTTTGAGAGCCAGAGGTTGCCACGTATTGTGTGCAGCTCTGCAATTGCCTCACAAAAATAAGCGGAGGCGAAATTGCAAAGCGTCGTCTCCCGGCTGGCTGTGTGTGCGTTCACATCGTGCACCGGGTCCAGGGAACTGGCCTCGAGGCATCATTCCGAGAATGGACAAAATTCACGAAAAGAAAATCGTGCTGTCGGCAATTGTGGTTGCGGAAAACCTCGACGTGTATCCAGAAGCCGAGCTCGGGTCCCAAGACCCCCGTTCAGGAGGGCCCTGCTCGTCTCACGTGCAAGTGGTCTGGATTCACGAAAATGTGTTGCTGGTGCGTGATGCTTAACTAAAGTACTCGCCCTGGACACGTAATGTGACAATACCGGCGTGATGGGAAGGATCTGGCGTCGCTTTGACGCTTCCTTTCAGAGTGGTGGGAACCCATTGCCAGCATGTAGTTCGGTGTCTAAGTAGTGTATTGATTACCTGCAATAAGTTAATCAGATTTTAAATGGCCATAGGGTGATTACTACGGTAATCTTCAGCATAAACAAATCAACATACTGCTGATGATACATTTAAAAATCCACGCATCAAACTGGCTTCGTATGAAAGGACTCCTTTGTAGGTCTCCATGTTTCTTCGCCCGCACCTTCCGATGAGCACGGTTGGCTCCGTACGGTGCGAAAGGTCAACATACATACAGGCTGATCTTGGGCTTGATTATCAGCAGCAATAACTCGCCTTCAAATTAGCCGAGACAAAACATGAGCAGGCCTCCTGTTCAAATGCGAATCCCCGTTCAATTGCTCCTCCTTATCGCCCGCTGCTCAATGAAGCTGAATTAACGCGATCGTTCATGTGAACCAAATACCCCTAATTGAAGAAGTGAAGCATGCCTTTGTAATCAGACCACGAGTCAATTCGAGGACATTGACTCATTAATAAACTGCTCGCGGTGGCCACGCTAGCAATGGATAAATTGCTTTATCCCAGAGCAGCTGTGTTCTCCAGTGTTCAAAAGAATGCTTTAAAAAAATACATTTGAGATGTTTTATATTAAAATAACAATAAAGTTGGTCCTGATCAGTGGTGGAGCAGCACGTGGTGAGCAACCGAAATAACCACGAGCTTCGAAGTCGAGCGGGCCACAGCACACTCAGAACCACTGTCAACGCAGCCAAAGCGACAAACCAATGGGTTTGTTGTAACCCATGTCATCCAGCTGTCTCGTTATCTGCTTTTCAATTGCATAATAATTCCCTTGCAGAGTAATAAATAAGTGAAAAATAATCCAACTTTTCTTTCTTAAGAATGAAGGCACTGTTTCAGTCTGCTAATTCTATTGGAATGTGTTGCCTGTTTAAAACACACGAAAGTGTTTTTTTATCTGTACTTTTATTTTAATTGCGAGGAGCATGCTTAAAAAAAGAACTTGCTTAAATGGCACACAGACATTTGGAAAACTCAAACTTAACCTCATATTACAAAATATTCACAGAACTATTGTGTTAGTACCTTAGGTATTTCACAACATTAAGACGTGAGATGCAAATGTCCAGCACTCGAGGGACATGTCTTCTGATTTTCAGACACAGCCGAGCATTTGCAGCAACGAGCGATTGCGGTCAATGCGATGGAGCAGTGGATATCCGAGCAAGAGAAATAGACGCTGCTGTGCAGCCTTGAGGCCAGGGGAATTATTCCCAACACCAATCACAAACCCAACATAAAAAACCAAGAGTCAAAACATGAATGTGAATGCAGGCTGCGTTACCATTGTCAGGGCCAGATTGTTTGCCCCGTTATGCCGTGAAACTTACGCACGCGATTACAGAGCTGTACATTCCGATAACTCATTTTTTTTCTACCTTACATCGTAAGCTCTTTGAACAAAAGCACTGTAATTACCATGGCATATGAAGACGGCACTTTAATATCAGGATAACTTATTTTGCGAGCTTGTTCTCAGAACTGTTTGCCGCGCGAATGCACGCGTTTCTTCACGCGTTGTGATTTGCAATGGTGTATCCTGCAACATGTCAGCAACCTTGACTCGTGTTCCACATTGTTCGTCGTCTCAACAAACAGTGAACTGGCTACACAGCCTCGTAGATTCATGGGACACATCTGGTAGGGCACTGCGGGCATTTTCCACCAACCTCGGGGACGCTGTCATGTATTTCCTGACATGCGAGCTCAACAGCTGGCATAACTCGAATTATATTTCTCGTTTTACTTCACCCGAAACCATGGAGCACTTTGTGATGACCCATTCAGCCAAATGCATGTTTGTCAAACGATCTGCAGTAGAATTTAGGATATGTTTAGTCATGTTGGCACATTCAATCGGTTTCGAAAAGCCACATCAACAGACATCCTCACGCACAACTGCAAGAGTCTTCCGTACAGCCCCGTGATTTGCTCCGAAGTGACATCAACCACTGTTATTGCTGCACGTGCACAACACTGTGCGAAGTGCCCAAGCCAATTAATGCGACAATTGTCTCGGGGAATACTGGGGATTAAAATGAGCAGATTAAAAATGCTGACTTGCATTTGGCCAATTGCATCTAAGGAAATGGAATCTGCTCAACCAACTAAGTGAACAGACCAAATATAATTTAGTATTTTAATCCTGACATCGTAAAACATTTTATGGTTTGAATGGGGATATTTTTTTCCCCATTCATACGCCTTTTAAATACCAAGTGAAAGTCAGATCCTCCCTGCCATTTCCATTGGCATTCTGCATCACAGGTGGAAAGTCCACATTAACGTAGCCAGTACATCCATATAATGACCACAGCTGACCTGCCACAATGGTACACACATTTCCTTGACCCCAGGATGAATAAGGTGGTTGACTTCCGATTGGGATGTGAACTAATAACCTTCTGATTGTGAGTCTAGCACTCGTGAAAAAAAAACTAAATATCCGAAAGTGGTGAGTTTTATTAAACACGAGCACTTGTTTCATGTACAATTTTCATCCGATTGAACACTCATATTTCCCGCACCTGATTGGCCTCTTGTCACTTAGATACAACGCAATCGAGATTCAAGTGGAACAAACCGGGAGGCGTCTTCCAAGCATAGCCGGCAAGCCATTCCACAGCCCCCTAACACAGGGGGGATCCATTTACAGCTATCCCACTAAAATAGTGAGATATATAGAACATTGATTTCACAGTCTACACATAAGCAGTCCTTAACCTCCCTCATCCATTCCTCTCTCAAAACTTAACCTGTTCTCCATTCTCTTCCCTCCCCTTTCCCAACCCCCACTACTCCACCCCCGATTGTGGTCAGCCATTCCTCATCCTTTGCACGCCCCTACCATCTCAATTTTTTATTTATACCATGTTTTATTATAATCGAATCTATAAATGGATCACCTTGTATTACAAGAATTTCCCCACAGCAACTCATTACCTGATAATACGCCGGGGGGGGGGAGGGTAGGGGGCGGCTTGATTGACCAAGACATTGAGCGTTGACGATGCGCCCTTTCCGTTCACTGCTCCGTACTCCCGTGTTTTTTGCACCAGTCTTATATTTCTCGTGGCATTTTGGCCTCACAATAACAACAATTTTATTACAGAACTTAATAATTTAAATTATTGCCCAGCTACGTATTACGCTGCAAAATGTTGCGATCGAGTCACAATAAAATATGCAGAATGTACACGTATTATACGTTAAGTGACATAGCAAGCGTAAGACACTACTCTAAATATATGGTTTACCATGGAGACCGTGCTCTTTTTTTTAAAGAAATCAAAATAGAATCCAAAAACACATTCAAACGGCTTCTCTTGGCTTAAGTAAAAAACACAAGTGATCATCGTATAGGTGGTCTGGTATTAAACGGATACACCAAGATGCTTTAGACTGGCTGCCTCTTGCTGTCAAATCCAAGGAAAGTTGCATTATCTTTAAGAATTGATTAATGGGAGAGAAACAAAAGCTCAACTGAAAAAGGGACCTCGCGTTTTAATTCACGTTCTCATTTTGGCCCTCTGCGCACAGACACAAATGACGACGTTAAAGCTAAAATGAGAGAACAAGCCTGAGCCTCGTGAAGCACGCACCGCCCCCCCCTCTCTGCACCAACTCTCCTGGATTTCTGCAAGGAAGTGCAGTGGCCGTACAGTACTTCCCAACAGAAATCGGCACAAAGTTCTTATGGCTCCTCCCGGCTTTATAAATACCTGCGCACAATACGGTCGCTTCTTACTTGGACGTGTGCGCGCAAAATAACCGATGGCCCCTGGCATGGCACACTGGGGGGGAACAGTTGGGAATCTGAGCTCAAAGCAAAGCGTGTTTGCACAACACCAACATCGTTTCCGCCAACAGCTGCATATCCTCGTGCATCATTTCAGTGCTGTTTGGTGCCTTGTGTACAAGTGCTGAACAAAAGTGAACACGTATACAATTCCTCTCAAACACAAATTGCATCACAATCAAGATAATGTTTGTTGGACCCAGTAGACGTAATAAAAAAGAAATAAGCAAACGGCGCTAATTTTACAAAAAAATAAACAATGGCCCCAGTTTGCAACTTCAAATTGTCAGGTGAACTGCTTTTGTAAAATTTTCCACTCATCGCAGTAGCAAGTCCATACAATTATTTGCTAAACTGAATTATCGAAAAATGAGGCCATTTTCATGTCACACTGCTCACTCACATTTTGTTTTCACATTGTGAAGATTTCCCTCCAAATTTTTTTTTTACTTTTTTTAATAATTTTTCCTCAAGTTATTAAAAGGGATTTTATTTTTTTCATATCTCCAGCAACCCAACACTGTCAAACTCATTTACATATGCTAATGCGTGATAGGCACACACGACCTGGAATGGGGTTTTAGTTTTACAAAACAAAGCGAGAATTAATCAAGTTTTGATACAGGTCTTCATAACACTGGTCTCCCACCATGAACGTAAGCGATCACAAGTTCTTGATTCAGCAAACCGTTTATAAACGCAGAAAATAAGGAATGATAGCAATTCACTGCCGTATTTTTCTGTAGAACTTCTTTTTATAACGTCGACCATCGTGAACATTAGAAGGCTGAATTCCAACGGTGGCGGCTCAGTTGGCATACACGGTGTCTACAGCTTGGTACGGCCCGCAGCACACCATGAGAAAGCGACACGTTCTCAGCGGTTTCGCGTGCAACCTCCTCCCCTCTTCACTTGCGCAGCGGCAACACGAGGAAAACGACAGCCGAAGAAAACCGGCCATGAGCAGCCCTTGCCTCTTCCTCTAACACTGCCAGTTTCTTCCTCCACGCTTGGCAGTTCAGACTTGGCAACTTTTCTGCTACCGATGATCAAAGACGGGCCACTGTCCATCACAAAACGGCACGTTTCCCATCACGAAAAAAAAATCTGTCGCCCCAAATATTTCTCTGCCGCTTTCCGTTTTCATTGTTCTTACCATGTTTTTTTTAATTAAATTTCAAAATACATTGACGAGTGTCTCACCTGCAGTCACATGCAGGGGAGGAGGGGCATTTAAGAGCTGCACCCTCGTGGGTGTTGCTGGATGACGTTCAGTTAATAGCAGGACTGCTGCTTGTGGCTTATTCTGCGCTTCAATTCAAACACATTGTTTGGACGATACTTCTAAGTTTTCATCCTCCCCCCTCGGCATTAAAACTTGACGGTTCCAGCAGGCAAGCTACTATTGCACAGCCTGTAGTAGCGAAGGTCGTTGACAAACCTGTGTACGCATTGCGTGAATGATGGCAAATCCTGCAAACGTTAAACACAGGAAAGCGTTAACATTGATTTAAAGCACCTTCCGAACTCCTAAGTTACAAACTCCTCCGTGATAATTGCCATTTCTCTGAAAGGTCAATAACAAGACAAACACAACTTTGCAAAAATAGCACTCAAAAATGTGATGGAAAATAAACTTTAAAGCCACGCGTTTAAAACTCAAACAATATTTGAAAATTTTAAATATTGTTTTAATTAAAGCAACTAGTATAATTAACACAACTTAGAATTACAATTCTTCAGCTTTATGACCAACAGAATATCCATTAATATAAAAGGCTTTCAGGACCAATATGAAAAAAAATTGTTAGATGGTGTGTGCAATGTTAATCTTCAGCTCCGACCCTCAAGCCACCTGACAAAACCAATCAAATACATATTCTTGGTTCTTTCGGTAAAGTCACGTTGAAGGGAAACAATAAAATAATAAAATATATATAAAACAATAAAATTCTCACGACGTAAATTCTCATAACGTCGTGAGAATTTTATTGTTTTATATATATTTTATTATTGTTTCCCTTCAACGTGACTTTACCGAAAAAACCAAGAATATGAATCACTGCAGTCACGAAAGCTTTAAATCAAAATTAAATCAAATACAGTTATCACGAGGGCAAATAAACCAATTGATTTGGTGTTTCAACAAACAAGAATGGTGAAAGGCAAGCAGCATTTTGCCGTTTCACTCGAGATTACACCCAGCATCAGCAGGTGTGACCAGAAGTTCAGCGCTAGCATAAATGAGCTTCCTGATCAGGGTCCTTAAGTAGGTGATATCAGCACACGCATGCATGTGATACAGTTTAATATTCACTTGTTGATTGGTTGTTTTGCAGGTTAGAATAGTTTAGTAAGCGTTATTTAATATACTCGTTTGTGAAAAGAGGCTATCAAGGGATATTCTGTTGGTCATAAAGCTGAAGAATTGTAATTCTAAGTTAAGTGTTAATTGTAGGTATGAATGTTGAACTTCTTTGGAAAATACACAACCAACCGTGCTAATCAGAGGTGCAGGGGAAGACAAGGCATTAACATAAAAAGCAGTGCTAAAGAAAAGTTTTCCATTTAGATTTAAAAAGTGCATCCTTCCAGTGGCTTCCTAATTTCAGAAGAGTGTTCCAGACGGCCACAAAAGCGCATCTCAAAGCACGCGATGCAGTGACCGTCTTTATTCGCTGATCGCCAAAAGCCGCTGCGAGTTCGGCCGGAGTTTGTCTGATGGGTTATGCTCCTCGACGAGAAAATTGGAGCTGTGCAATGCCAAATAACTCACCCTGTCCATCTTGAAGTTCCCAGCGAGCGTGCCCTTCTGTGCCATGTCCACGCCGTCGCACGTCTCCAGAAAGTGTGGCAAGAAAGAGGCGTAGAAGCCGTCAAAGTCGACCGAGGCCATGTTGTAGAGCGCCACGGCGATCTCATCCTGCAGCAGGTCGTGCGAGCGGTGCAGGAGCACCTGCAGCAGCACGTGCAGGAACTGGAAGAGCATCGACGTGCGGAATATCGTCTGTGTATGCAGGCGGGGAGGGGTAGAGAGACAGATCAGAATTTGCAGGGATACAGACATTCATGTCATAAAACTGGTACCTTCATGATGAAATGGGCCTGTGCCAGACTCAGGAATCACACACAAGCAAGCAATACATAAATAAATCATCATTACTGGTGAATAAACGTGGCTTACACCATTGAACACAGGTCAGAGTAAATGGACAGCATGCGGCTGGTAAGGGTAGAGAGTGTGCACCTTATGGTATAGTTTATGTTTGGCGTTGAGGCTTTCCAGGGCGGCCAGGTTCTGCTTAAAGATGTGGATGTCAGGCTGTAAGAAGGATTGCCCAAACGCCTGAAAAAAGCGACACACGCAAACAAGTAAATACGACTACACATTCACTACCAGTGCATTACAAATTATTTTATTTGCAGTCCACTTTCAAAAGGAAATCCATCTCTGTTAAACATGTAAATGTTTGTAAGAATTGCAAAAAATATTATGCACTGCTACTCGTAACATTTCGTCAATTGCTTTGCAAATGCCAATCGAACGAGGCTTAAAGTGCCGTAACGATGGAACCAATCACGACACCGGGAATCTGGTTGTGCTCTAGGTAGTCGGTACCTGCATGATGGCCACAAATTGTCCCTGGTTTTCCATGGATTCCTCGTGGCCGCCCCTCTGAATGGTGGCGAGCACGGCCGTCTTGAAGAAGTGGCGCCAGTTGTGGTGCAGCAGCTCGAACAGCAGCTCAAACAGCTCGGCCTTGATGTCCGGCGACGAGCGCTGTCGAGGGGGAGAGGAGGAACCACACGAGGCTGCGAGTTACACATCCACCCTGGACGGCGCACACGACGCGCTCAACCGGTCCACTCTGCTACACCAATTTAACCCTTTCCCATTCCGAGACGTCTGCAAGTTGCAGGGTGGGTCCCGTTCACCGTTGAATTCTCGGAACGTGAAAGAAGTTGAGCATTTTGATTTAAAGCTTTCGTGACTGCAGTAATTCATATTCTTAGTTTTTTCGGTAAAGTCACGTTGAAGAGAAACAACAAAATAATAAAATATATATAAAATTCTCACGACGTTTCGAAACGTCGTGAGAATTTTTTATTTTTCGAAACGTCGTGAGAATTTTTTATTGTTTTATATATATTTTATTATTTAGTTGTTTCTCTTCAACGTGACTTTACCGAAAAAACTAAGAATAAGTTGAGCATTGCGCCATTTTTTCAAGACCGCAGAGAACTGTAGCGACACGACCGCACTATTATAACGTGCGTCAAACTGTGTCACATGCCCTCCCGCATAGCATTGTGGGAGCCTCGGTACCGATAAAGTTATTTTAGTTTTCTTCCCAATCGGAAGAAAACGTCATTGGAATGGGAAAAGGTAAAATAAGGCAGAAATAAGAAAATACTCGCACATAACATTGTGGCCTTAAGTATATAATGTGACGTTTTGGGCAGTGGCCCTTTTTTATAGGGCATAAACATTTGTTTTAAATGTACATGGTGTGAAGGACCCGAGTTATTGATTTGTGTTTTGAGTTTTACAATATTGCGCTTCTGCAACCACTGGCAATGCAGTGTCCATCATATGGTGGTGCAGCCGTGCAGAATGACACGGGACGAACTCTGCAAGCAGTGCGTAAAGCCCTGCCGCGAATGGGCCACAACCATTTGGGCTGGGAGACTAATGCAGGAAATGAATCATTTAGCGGCAGAGGAGGGTGACTCACCGCAGCCACAATAGGGTACAGCTGATCCATGCAGAGTGAGATAATGCTGGGCAGGAAGGCCTTGAAGGCAGCGCCAGGCTCCTGGGCCACCAGCTGTAGGATCTTGAGGAACTTCTCCACCACACAGCAGCCTGCGCTCCCGTCGTGCAGGATGCTGTCGGCCAGCTGATCCCTGCAGACGATGGAATAGAAATCTACAATAGTCACCTCAACTCCTCATTGGCCTCAGATTATCGGAGCAAAGCAGGGGGGGGGGTGGAGCAGTGATTGCTTTAACTGGCAACCCTCCCGGCTTTTCAGCCATCAACAACTGTTCCCTCTAAACTGAGCAACAATAATCTGGATACTTGCCAACTTGCGTGCTATTGAAAAACAGACTTAATTGTTTATTGAGCACTCTTTTTCTTTAGTTTGTTGTCCTTCCCCCGCACCTCCGATTAGCACAGTGCGAAAGAAGTTCAACATACATACGTACTCATCTGGTTATGTACAACACACTACCACTACTAAGCTGGCTGATTCATCGACACATTAAGTGCTTTCCCAGCACAAGCGTGTCACCATCTAGCTATACAGGATAGCAGCCTAAATGACTATCTAATGCAGGTGGCACTCGCCAGTTGGCAAAAACAATTAGCATCCATGAGTAGGAATCAAATCTCCGTCGCCGTTGAATGCGCTAATATCAGTGTGACAGATAGCTATACAGGCCGGTACACACAAGGTACTCTCTGTACCTGCACGGATTGTGCAAAGGTGGGGTGGGGGATGTGGGATGCTGTACCGTGTAAACATGTTGAGAAAGGTCTGGATGGTTTGTTCTGTGAAGGGCACTCCAATTTGCACCTTGAGCCCTTGGAAGAGGCTCAGGAAAAATGTCAATATATCATCCGTCACATCTGGAGACAAGAGTAGGATAAAAACACGAGTGAGGTTAATCCCATAAGGGTATAACATCGTAGCTGATATTTTCTTAGCACTGCGAAATGAATGCACAGCAAAAAATATAAAAAACGTGAATTATGTCTTTGTGTAATGTTTAACACACTGTATTTGCAATCCAGCAGTTACGGATACATTTCCCGGCATGGAAGTTGAAACAATGGACATATTTATCTTAACACCCCCCCAACCCCCGGGGGGCTCTGTCCACCAAACAGCATCAATGGGTTTAGAGCACAACCAATTGGCGGGATTGCGTGCGGTCATAGCGTGTGTAATCCCATGTCTTCCAAAGACATCTGCCCAGAATGGAAGAGTAGGCCAAAATAGCCTCTAGATGAGGAGCTGCATTTATTGGTGAACCTAGAGCTGTCTCGAGAGATGTGAACAATAAAATGCAGGGCTGCGCTTTCACCCGTAAAATGAATACCAGGACATCAACATTTATTGTTTTAAATTCCCAAATGTGTGTACCCTACCACAGTAACAAAAACCCCCACCGTCAGGACTCATCACAGCTGTACCTGGCTGGCTGATGAAGAGCGGGAAGAGCACAAGGGTGACCTGCACCGACTCCTGAATGGCTTGGTGACAAATCTGCCGAGATTTGGTCACCTCCTCCGATATGCTCTCCACCACGTCCCGCAGAATCGCTAGTGTCCGCCGCACAACCGGCTTGGCTGCACACCAGGCCACACCGACGAGACATTTCAACGGACGATATGCACTTGTAATTACACATTAGGTTGTCTTACCCACAATTGTGTCCGTCTTGGGGACTTCCATCCCAGCATCCCTTCCGTTTCCACATTCCTTTTTCTTGTTCCATACATAATATCCTTGACTCCCTTTCCCATGGTGTGCCACGGGTCAAAGTTGTTATTATATATATGTAAACATCTAACCTGGCTCCAGCAAAAGTTTGTCCTGTTGCAGGCTGTTCTTGAGTGCGCGGTACTGCTGCGTGAGCGTCTGAATCAGACCGCAGAAGTTGGAAGAGCGCACAACCCACTGCTGCTCCCCATCGCCGAGGCTGGGCCAAGGCAGCAGCAGTGCACTCACCAGCGCTCGGCACACCAGCACTTGCGCCTGAGACAACAAACACACGCACACAGAACAGATATTGGAGTCAAGCGCAGAGGCTTGTTGTCAGCTGGGTGACACGGCCCAGCAGGAGAACCGTTCATCCGCTTGCTGCAGAGGGTTCGCGATTCGAATCCAGCAGCCACCCTGGTTAACACTGCCGGTATTTTAATGGTAAAATACACGCCATCTGCTCCACAGTTGAAGTTAAAGATCCTGCGATGTCATTCGAAAAGAGTAGGCCACTGTGTGTCAGTGTGATGGTTCAAATTTGACAGTTGAAAATTCATCCCCAGCTGTGAAACACAGCGCCTTCCTTCACGGTACCCTTGCGCTATATGACACAAATATCCAATGTGCTAAATTATTAATATTCAAAATGCTTCACGACGGATTTAAAACCACCACCATTAACTCCATCCAGTATTTCCAAACAAAATTGTTTCAAATAGGTATAAATTAAACAGGTGATTTCCAAAACTACAGAATGTCAAGATAATTATTAAATACACAAACACTGATATAAAAAAGAAAATGACCTTTTGCACAAAGAATTCATACCTCAGCGTTCAGATGGTACACCGAGCCATCCGACACTTTGGCAAACATTTTCTGAACGGTGGGCAAAGTGGCGAGGAACGGGGGTCGCACGGTCGACGCGATGGACACCAGCAGATGCGCAGACGACAGGAGGATTTTCTCAGGAACCTGTAGCGCACGGTCCACGACGTCAACTGTTACAACCACCAACTACAGCAGCACTCACATTACCATAAAACAAAATGCGCACAGTATAATACTCAGGTGTGCAACATGCTATTATTCTTATTATTGTCATTTTGCTTGTTTGCCCAGGAAAGGCTCACCAAGTGGAGACTCGTTTTAAGGACTGTGGCGCCAGGTTTTCGGTGAGGTTGCGTCATCACAATTGATTAATTTGTAGGCATTTATTTTTAAACGTGCAATCCCAATTGAGTAATTTGTCAGCAAAATATCAGCATTGCGATGTTTGGCCAATACCGCTTACATTGTTTTTATCTATGGAGAAACCTGAGAACCCCGAGGGAAGCCAGGCAGAACAGGGGGAGAACATACAAACTCCAACACAGAAAGGTGCCCATGTCGGGAATCGAACCATGGAACTTCTTGCTGTGAGGCAAGAGTGTTGCCACTGCACCACCCTGCCGCTCCAAATGTTCAATGTCCAGAGTGGTTGTGCATGTGTTGAATACAGATGACTATGCATTGGAGAATCCCAACTATAAAGTGTGTACTTGAATTGGGAAAATGTAGCTCTTACATGAAGCACTCAAGGGGAAAAGCGAATTATTTGGTGATACTGCATTGGCAGTGGCGCACAAGCAAAACAAAATAACTCTACAAACTCGTCAGAGGGAAAAGTGGATTCCCACGACCGCCGACTCTTGTTTCCCGAGTGCCACAAGTGGGAATACCAAATGGGGAAATTATCTTTGAGTCGGCTGGAACGTGACGCCGTTGTGTTTCACACTGCGCAGGTGATCGGCACGCACCTTGTTTTCCAGCAGAGGAGCGACGGCCAGCATGGCGGTGGAGACGAGAGACACAAACTGCTTCTGGTCCTGCCCTTGCCGCCGGAGCTCCGTGCCAAACTGGGCCAGCCAGTGGCTGTAAGCCTGCAGTGCAGCGAGCGACTGAGCATGCCTGCAGTCATCCGACAGTCATTGCAGACGCACACAAGCCAAGGACGGGGTGGGGGGGGGGGGACAAACATCAGTGAGTTCAGACCATCTCACCGGAACTGGATTCTGACTTTGTAAAAAAAAATCACAACATGCAGGAATAAAATAATAAATTGATAAAATAACACAATAATATTCTCACGACGTTTCGGCCACAACACACCTGATGAAGGCCGCTTGTGTTGTGGCCGAAACGTCGTGAGAATATTATTGTGTTATTTTATCAATTTATTATTTTATTCTCATTCTACGTGACTTTACCGAAAGAACCAAAGAAGATGATCATTGCAGTCACGAAAGCTTTCAATCGAAATTTTACATGCAGGAAATTTATTACAAACTGTGGAAATTACTGTACTTATTAAAACTGCAGGAAGGGATTTGTACAAAGTCACCGTTTGACAAGCTTTAGCAATGGTTTAGCCACCAAGTACTAAGTCATGTTTTGCAGAGGGGTCAAATACTTATTTCCCTCATTAAAATGCAAATCAATTTATAACATTTTCGTCATGCTTTTTTCTGGATTTTTTTGTTGTTATTCTTTCTCTCACTGTTCAAATAAACCTACCATTAAAATTATAGACTGATCATTTCTTTGTCAGTGGGCAAACATACAAAATCAGTAAGGGATCATTAAATACTTTTTTCCCTCACTGTATGTGATAGCAGTCTAACGAAAATAGTTATTCAAAAGGTGCAAAAGTATCGTGCGAACTGCCACGGCATATTAAGGGAGGTTCCAATACGCTGCGCCATTCACAGAATTCTAGGAGTACTCACACGTCAATGAGGTCTGGTTTAAGGACAGATGGTGCCGCAGTCTCTATGGCAAACAACTTGGTCTGTGTTCCGTACAAAGTCATTTCCACCAGCCTGTGGTAATGACAAGGAGAATAAAATGGGAAGACACACAATCATATTCGAGTTGTTAAATAAGAACCAGTAAACTCCAGCGGAATTTTAATAACGCACGCACGGATTGGCACAAGGCACATGCGACTCTGGTTCGCCGCAGCCATCTTCAAGGCTCCAGTGATGAGCCCAAATCACTGGCGCGTGATACATTTCTCGTTAAGAAAACAACTGCACGCTTGCAATTGCTTGCGCATGCCCCTGCTGGACGGGCTTCCACTAGAGGGAGCTCGAGAGGACATTTGGTCTCTCATATATACTGACCAGGTGTGAAAGGAGAGGTGGGCGTACCCACGCTTAAACCCACCACACAGCAGGACCTCGGGGAAAAGAGGCCAGGGGGGATTTTATAAATGTTCCCAACTGCCGCACCGGGAAATTAAACCGGTAGTCACTGGACTGCAAGTCCAGCGTGCTAACCATTACACCAATCGCTTCACGCGATTGGTACCACGGTCGCTCGCCAGCGAACGCCCGCCTCTGCGCTGAAAAAAAATCACAAAACGCCTCAGGGGTCAAATGCATCACGGCACTGAAATCGGAGGATGCCCTACGCCACACGCAGCTGTTTGCACCAAACGCCGACCTCGAAAGCTCCGTACCTTTCCACGATAGAGAGCGCGTCGCTGACCCTCTCGTTAAACACGTCCCCGATGAAATGCTCCGCCAGGCGGCCCACGGCCTGCAGCAGTGAGCTGAGGTCGCGCAGTGAGCAGTGCAGCCGCCGGCAGTCGTTCTCCGCCGTGATGTTTAGCCTGCCGCCTGCGGGCACAGTAGCGAGATGAGGAGCCTGGCCGAGACTGCATCGCCATCATCATCAGCCGTCATCAATCCAGTGCTGGATGATGGCCTTGCCAAGCCACTGCTATCTCTCAATATTATTGTTGCTACGCTTGTTTACCAAGGAAAGTCTCAAATTAGTCTCAAGACTCGTTTCAAATAAAAGCCAAACGAGTCTCAACTTACTTCAGGAGGTAATTTTGCAGGTATTTATTTTTGCATTGGGACGTTTGGCCAATACAAATTACATTGCGTGTTATTTTAGCCATAGAAGGAAACCGTAGAGCCTGCAGGAAACCCATGGAGAACAAGCGGTGAAGATACAAATTCCACAGAGGCACCCTAGTCTGGAATCAGACCCAGGTCCTTCTCGCTGTGAGAAACAAGGAGTTACCACTGCGCCACCCTGCCTCCCAGCAAAACATCAAGCACTTGAGAATCAAATTAATATAAACTGGAAATGCCTTTTGAAAACAGGTTATACAACCGCCCTGTGACATTGACATCTGATTATTGTAGCACGAAGTGTGATTATTTACCTGCTCCGGAATGCACGATGAACTGCTGCAGTCCCAGATATATCTCAAGATCCTCTTGAAGTATAGGTGACTGAAAAATAACAGAGTTGATGAGTTATTTGAAACCATCACCGTGTAATTGCGAAGTGGGATGAAATTTGTTTTTATCATACATGACAATAATCATGAGCATCGTTGTGGAGAAAATAAGTAACGCACATCTGTCCCTCAACATGACAAATAAAAGTATTACATGTCGATCAGCCGCACGGCCCTCTAGGAGGGCATACTTTCAGCAGCACCAATGCAATACAAGCCAACTCTGAACCGGTTTTGACATAAGTGTCTCATCAGAAGTCTGGCTTGCTTGCACGAATGCTGGTGAACTGCTAAATGTTTATAAAACAGGTGCACTCCATTGAATTTCACTTACAAAGCAAATTCAAAAGGCTGATCTGCACATATGCCTACGGCACAAAGTTCCTTTCAACTAGTGTTACGTGACAGCGATTCATTCCGTTGTAGCGGACTGAACTGCAAGTTTAACAGCCACTTGTAAACGGTACACTCGCACGCAACGCACCTGACCCATTACTCAAGAGGGGTACGAATATATTTCAAGTAATACAACTTTGCTAGCTACCTTTAAACTACACAACTTTGCTCAGCGATCTAATAAACACTACTATCAACCACTGGTATGTGTTCATTGTACTTCTGAAAAGGGTCCAAAGACATTAGCTTCATCTTGGATGAGGCCCATATCCCCCCCCCCCCCCCCCCCCCCCCGCTGCTGCTGCAGAATGCTTCGGAGCTGTGTTCATACCAAGGTACTGAAGGCGTGAGCTGGTAAGAGTTCTGCCACTTTGGCGACCACTTCCAGACTCTGGTGTAAGAAGTGCTGCCATTCAGTCTTATTCTGGAACACAAGAGTGAAAAGCAAGCGAGGAGTATGACCATAGATGTCATGATCTGACCAAATTTTTGTCATTAAGAACCCTCCAGCACCCCTCACAGCAAAACAAATCAAGTCCCACATCACACCAATTGTTATTATTTAGGCTCATCCTCCAGTGAGTTGAAGATCAATCCTCACAACTGAATTTTAGCAGCAATTAGGTACGCGACGTCTCGTTTGAGACCACGTCAAATATCACCGGCACAAGATCCAGGAGGTCAGAACCCAACTGGCTTGCGAGAGAAAAGCAATGGGGCAAGTCGGTGCGCAGAGGCTGAGATTATGTAGTACAGGACGATACGGTATCAACACGCCAAACAGCGACAACATGCTACCTACCGCAGCTCGAGAAGCTTCACCAAAGCTTTGCTTAAAACTAAAATAACAAAACATCTAAACAATGTCTATAAATACAATCATTTAAACTTCAAAAATGTCTATATTAATATGACCAGCTAGATAAATCATTTGGACCAAGTTTCTAAAATAAGAATAAAATCACTGATAGTAAAATCTACAGCATAATTATACAATTTCTAAGCAGATGTAATGCTGCTTATATATATGGAGTAAAGCAAATGTGTTAGGCATAGGAACCACATGAACAGAAAACAGCAACATGTAAATTATGTAAACACAGACTGCTAAAACCCTAAGCAACAGACACCACTGAAGACAGAGGTCAAATTCAATTTAAGAAAATTCGAATTTGACACCGACGTGTAAAATAAAGCCAAAGTCACTTACGTCGTCATCCAACGTTTCGTCATCGAGTTCCTCCAGCTGTGCCTGGTTGTAACGGAACTGCATTCGACGCAAGACTTCGGCGTTCAGCGCAACCAACGCATCCTTGTACCTGAACAGCAACAAGCCTCGTGAGGACTCGTGTACATTGAACGACTCAACACCTCTCTCTCTCTTCACACACAGCAGCAGCCGCAGTACACTTACAGGGTTGATAAGTGTATCTGACGAGAGTAAGCGCCTTTAGCGCGCAGTATTTTGGTCAGAATTAATCTGACACAGTGTTGCTTTGTCACAGAAAACAATGCCTACATTCAATTTTAATAACATTGGTAATTAAGGCAACTAACCAGCGGCAAAGAAAAGACCCCGACACCGCTGCACGTCTCCATCACTGGAACATGCTACACACAGTGGATAACGTATGCTTCGGGTGAGGTTGATTTGCAGTAATCGTCAACACGATTGCGACATAGGACCACAGAGCTTGGGCCACTGCTGGCGCCAGTTCAATTTCCCACTGGTCTGGAGTTTCCCGTTTGCAAGCCGTGCGCGCTACTTATCCTACAACATTTTGAGATGCAATTTACATGACGCTGAAGAAGAATGATTATTTCGCATTGAAACGCAACAAGACTTCCAATTGCTTTATGAGGGCTACATTTTATATGCATGAGACAAAACAACTTACCTTTCAAGAACACCTTTTTTATCGGCCATTCTACTCCGGATCTTTCCACTAAGGTAGTCCAGGAAGACTGACCAAATGTCCAAGCAAGCAAAATAACCTTCATGCGTGGGCTAAGGAAATAAATAACATTTAAAATTACAAACACATACATCGAACAACTCCGAAATGTGCGTTTGTAAGGAAATCAAATCACTATGGTAACAATGGAGGCTCATCATGCAAAAACTGCCACTTTTTAAGCATTACAGTGGAACCATATTTAAAACTATCCTGTGTCTCCAAATGTACAGAAACATTACATTACAAAATAGTATTTTTATAATAAACTTGTATACAGTACTGGTAAAATTCCTTCTCTCCAGTCACTCGCTAAAATCCATGGCACGTAGGCCGAGTGGCACGTGGGCCGAGTGGCACGTGGGCCGAGTGGCACGTGGGGTGAGTGGCACGTGGGGTGAGTGGCACGTGGGGTGAGTGGCACATAGGATGAGTGGCACGTAGGATGAGTGGCACGTAGGATGAGTGGCGTAAAGTTTGAGCGGCTTGTGGCCTTGTTGCCACATATTGAGTGGTACTTTGAGTGGCACGTACACCGGGTGAAACACTGATTAGACGCTGAGCACAATTGTAACTTGCATGTCCTGGTGCCAGGTTTCAAGCCACATGCCAGACTAATAAGACGTATCTCCAACTTTTTCTTTAAAATAACTGAAATAAAAGTGAGTCTTATAATCCGGAGAATATGTTTAGAGCTTGAATATTAATATCTTAACTACGAAATGAATACTCTATTCACACATGCATGCATGTCAAGCCAGAAACCAAATGACTTACCCATACATCCATTCGCTCTTTTACAACGGCACACAGCCCACTCACCTGGTTGAATGTATATCTGAAAAGGAGAGACAGGAACTCTACGACTGGGAAGCGGTAATTGGACTCGATTCTCCGGAGGTGCACGCTCACAAAGAGCCTCAAAAAATCTGTAAACTTCTCCAGGTAGCTGCGCGGAGTGGAGAAGGGGAGAGGCAACACAAGAAGCAGACGTTTTACCAACAGGATACATCCGTACATCAATCTTGAAATAACAATTGTTGTCTTGCAGCGCACTTTCCAAGGGGTATTGCACAACTAGAAACGGTTTGTGGTTTGTTTTCGATTGTCTTTGTTTGGACTGCCGAGCAATGCTGTGGGTAAAAAAGGTTTTTAGCGGAGTTACCTACAGGGGCTGTATGGGTTCTCTTCAGACTCTGAAACAGCAAGAAACAAGCAGTCATCCAGACCTCACGAGTGTCCCCTTGAAGCTGTGGTCAGGTTATTAAATTAAACCCCTAAGCATTGCCAATGCAGTGTGTGCCAAGACTTAGAGGGTGATGGAAAGCTTGAGCCACCACCTAAGTGCGATGTGCATTACAGCAATTATTTAAGTTATCAAACACACCGACAAAATGGAAAGTTGGCTTCAGTCTACTTTTCAACAAAGTGTCAAGAGTGCTCAGATTACTACTAAAAAATGCAACCAATTCAGCCTCGCTTGGCCCCACAAAGGGTCTTGATGGAAATTGGCAATAAGAGATTAACATATTTTTAATGAGGCTAAAACTGTCAGTAGAACGAAATCGCTGAGAATTCCTTGTTAATTTTATGAAAAACATCAAAATCATTGTGCACAGTATACATTTCTTGTGTGGGCACGAGAATTAAACCAGATGATACGATGTCCCATCTCATTTAAGATGCTTCGCCTCATGTAAGGCATTTGTGAGGTTCAATGAAAGCTGCAAAGCATCCTAATTTGAATTGAAAGCAGACTTAACATGTAAAATGTCAAGCACCAAATACTTACCTGTTATTTACACTCCAAACAGACATGTAACGTTGCATTGCACAACAGCAATGCATAACAAACGACAACTTGCCATTCGAAGGAATGTATACCACCTTATGAATTTGTGACCAATGGAATTCGAAATTTCTGCAAGAAAATAAACCTACAGCTGTGTGATTACTAACTCCATAGTACAGCCAAAAAAAGTTGGGTGCTACTTCAGTGAGCAGATACACAACAGAGAAACACAAACACAGCTGTGCTAACTGCCCGAAATGCGTCGCCCACTCCCCCAGCGCCGCGAACGTCTGCAATAGCTACGGAAGATGAGCAAAGTTCTCTGTTGAAGCGAGCGCGCGCACCTCTCGTCCAAGGCGTCGAGCCGAGCACGGACGCCGCACGCCTTATTGTCCTTGGTGATCTTCTGCAGCAGGTAGAAGGTGTGCTGGAACATGCGGAAAAGGTACTCCTCGAACTCAGCCGGCACGCAGTTTTTGGACATAAGCTCGTTGATGCAGGACATGGCCAGGACACCCAGGGACTGCGAGGGGGAAAACATTCAATGCAACGCAAACAACACAATGCATAGTGAGCACAGTAGATTTTCACATTGAGAAAATTGGCACGACGCACGTTAGAACACATTACAACCTAACACAGCAACAACATGCTAAAAATACAACAGGTGAACACATCAGTATGCAAGTGAATATTAGAAAAAAGCAAGAACTTAACAGGGCTATTCCAGTTGGTCTACTTGTGACCACTAAATGCCACACATTGTGGCTTGAATGTGCAGCAGTTTGCCAGCGAAAATTTGGATTAACCATTACTCTGCAATCGGCTCGCACAATACGGGGAATAAAGAACCTGCGAGCTTTGTTTTGGTAAGTTCTAAATTATTGCCAAACGTGGCCATAATCCACGAGCAACTCAAGGGAGCTACTCTACACAACACATGAAACATTAAAACAAAACCAGGGCCATCACCAGCGAGGCTTTTGGCTCGGGCTGATCTCGGTTGCCCTGCCGGTGCGAGCCGCCGTTGGGGGCGTCTCCGCCCGTCACCGTGGGCACGATGGCGTCGCAGCCGAAGCGGGCAAAGTGGAAGATGGTGGCGAGGAGGTGCGGCGTGATGCTCGCCGACAGCGGGATCCAGCTGAAGAGGTGCGCCAGGCACTCGAGCGCCAGCGAGCACACGTGCTCGCTCTCGCGGTCGAGCCGCGGAATGGGCTGGCTGAAGAAGCGCGCGCCGTCCGCCATGCTGAACAGGCTGCCCAGCAGCTCGCCTGCGGGCAAGGTCAGAAAAGTAACAATGGCCGTGATTCAAAAATGCCATCGTTAGAATTATGAATTGTCACATCAGGGTTATAAAATAAAGTCTTGTCCTTATGGAACTTCTTTACTAAGCAGTGCATCAAATTACATCTCAGAATGGCGCCTAGAAGACAAAACTACAAATAGTTCCAGTTTATTCAATAGGCCTGACAGTAATGCTGTGTACGACCAATGGCTTTGGTACACTCGCTGGAAGCAATGTATGTTTTTATATGGATCATAAATTAAAACTAACAATGGAAACCAAAATAATGCAATGCATTCGTCGATGATAAAACAGCACCAAATATGGAGTTGGTGGAACTGAAATTTAATTCAAATTACCAATGCTACCAATCTGTGGATTATTGGACCGGAAGTTGTGCCGCAAAAAAATATATTTAACTGCAGCTACAAGAGCAGGTTTGTGGCTTTCAGGCTAACGAATTCAGGAAGCTGATAGGTGCAAAAATGCTTTATCAGTAACACATACCCAAGGCGCACATGCAAAGTGTGTTATATATGCGCAAGGTGTTAAATTTGCACATTATACTTCAATGCGCCATATAGACATACACCATGAGTGTGGGTGTAACGGTTGTGCAGCGTTTAGCGCACTGGCCGCGGCTAAATGTGGTGGCGAGTGATATCTGGTACAGTCCTGCGGGCGTTCCCCCCTCACCAGCCTGCTCTGACCAGCGTGGTTAAGTCTGGTCAAACAACCCCTATATGCATGGCTGGCATGGCAAGGAGAGGCCTTCATCCATCAGTGGATTGACAAAGAGCTGTACATTATTTTGTACACAAGCATACAAGGTTTCTAAACATGGGCTATAAGATACAGATATATGTGCATATATACAGTAGGCTCCAAACAGGAAGTACCTGGGCAGTACAAGCTCAGTCACCGAGTAGCCAAATGACTCCCCACTCCACCCTCAAATGCCTACAATTCATTTTTATTTTATACTTTCACTTATTTATCCAGAAAATCCTGAGTGTCAAGACCCTTTATCAGGATGGTCCTGCCAATTATTAGCAGGTAAGTTTGCAGAATTGGGATGTTTTACCAACAACCAGTGAAACTGTATTGGCTTTTTTAGCGATCGGAGGAAACTGGAGAACCCAGAGGAAATTCGTGCAGAACAGTGAGAGAACATCAAAACTCCACAGATAAGCACCCGGGTTGAGAATCGAACCCAGGAATTTCTTGCTGCGAGGCACAAGTGTTAACTGCTGCAATGCCACTCCTGGCATCCCTAAATATAATTCCTCAACGCAAACGTCCACAGAAGCACAACCCTCAATGCACAGGCACTTACCCATGCTCACAGTGAATGGTGATGGGGGAGGGGCAGCATCATCTGCTGTGTTCTTATCCCAGATGATCTCCAGAATACCTATAGTATAACACACACACAAACATGTATGCTTAGGGGGGGGAGGCAGGTAGGGGAAAATCCATGGACAATATTGAAGACGGGTTTAGGACTTACAGCACCATTTGAAATAAGGACAGGATAAAACACTTTATTTTTATCTAAATAATGAAACTAAACAATTTTTTTTTAATTTAGGACTGAATTGGGCATTGCTACGGCTCACTGGATTTAAATATTTCAGATATGATAGCAGATGCCAAAAGTACTTCTATTGTTTCTTGAGTCAAATGGCCAACGGTTTGTTTGATGGCAGAGGGCAGCTGTGTATCAGCGAGACAAGGTGCTTCTACAAGAGATATGAACGCAACGCCATTGAACCTTTAAAGTTTGGTCGTGTGTACTCTTTTGTAGTCTCTCCAACAATACCAAAAACATGTTTTACAAAGCATCATAGCACAAAAACAACCAAACAAATCAACATCGTTGCAAACGAATATTTTAACACTTGTTTTGATTTAATCAGAATTATAACACTGGCTGACTATTGCTTCCTAGCTCTCTACTATACACCACAATATAAAAAGGGCAGCATGTTAAACTGTTCCTCTCTTGTTAATAAACTCGACACAGAGACCCCGTGTGTTTTGCAGGAAATGAGTTGTTAAATAGACTTTGACAGATTTAAAATTGCTAGCCCTTTAAAACTGTCATGGGACCTTGAGATCACGTCGCACAATCCGTCCAGTGCACACAAACTGGAAAGCAACTTGGCTTATGTTTTGCATGAAAACAAAGCACGTAGTGCTTCAATTAAAAAAATAAAGCGAACTTTGACGGGTGGGGCAGTGGTCACCAAAATCAAGAGCTCACCACTCCACTCGCCAGCTTTCCCTATTCTCCAAAATTACCCAAATACGAAATTTAAGATACATTGTAGTCTCGTGCTGTTTTGAGAGACCTTTAATTGTAAACCACTTGAAAAGTGCCACTAATTTAAATAATTCACTCCAATCACTTGTCCGTCGGTGGTCAGTCACCTCCTGATCACTCTTCCATCGGTACGACCACGGATGCTGCTCCCATGAACTTCACTCATCGATTCCTCCACCCACATTGAGGACTCGGGTCTACCAGACCGGCAGTTTCGTCTCATCCACACTGTACTCAGCCACCACACTACGGGCCACAAACACCACACACACTCACCCAGTGACTCAGTTAACCACTCACACACCACACTACGGGCCACGACACCACACTCACTCAGTGACTCAGTTGGCCACTCACACACCACACTACGGGCCACGACACCACACTCACCCAGTGACTCAGTTGACCACTCACACACCACACTACGGGCCACGACACCACACTTACTCACCCAGTGACTCAGTTGACCACTCACACACCACACTACGGGCCACAACGCCACACTCACTCACTCAGTGACTCAGTTGACCACTCACAAACCACACTACGGGCCACAACGCCACACTCACTCACTCAGTGACTCAGTTGACCACTCACACACCACACTACGGGTAACAAGGCCACACTCGCTCACCCAGTGACTCAGTTGACCACTCACACACCACACTACGGGCCACAACACCACACTCACTCACCCAGTGACTCAGTTGACCACTCACACACCACACTACAGGCCACGACACCACACTCGCTCACTCACTGACTCAGTTGACCACTCACACACCACACTACGGGCCACAACACCAAACTCACTCACCCAGTGACTCAGTTGACCACTCACACACCACACTACAGGCCACGACACCACACTCGCTCACCCAGTGACTCAGTTGACCACTCACACACCACACTACGGGCCACGACACCACACTCGCTCACCCAGTGACTCAGTTGACCACTCACACACCACACTACGGGCCACGACACCACACTCACTCACTCAGTGACTCAGTTGACCACTCACACACCACACTACGGGCCACAACACCACACTCACTCACCCAGTGACTCAGTTGACCACTCACACACCACACTACGGGCCACAACACCACACTCACTCACCCAGTGACTCAGTTGACCACTCACACACCACACTATGGGCCACAACGCCACACTCACTCACCCAGTGACTCAGTTGACCACTTACACTACGGGCCACAACGCCACACTCACTCACTCAGTGACTCAGTTGACCACTCACACACCACACTACGGGTAACAACGCCACACTCGCTCACCCAGTGACTCAGTTGACCACTCACACACCACACTACGGGCCACGACACCACACTCACTCACCCAGTGACTCAGTTGACCACTCACACACCACACTACGGGCCACAACGCCACACTCACTCACCCATTCACCAAACTGCAGGTCAAAACACTTATCTCTCCGCTTCTTCCCTCGCATCGTTCCACTCTAGAACTGCCCCTAGCCACCGTCTCTTTCCCAATCTCTTATGACCCCGCTCAATTCGAGAAATGAATTCACTATCTAATATAAATCTTGACTTAAAGCTTTCATGACTGCAGGAATTCATATTCTTTGGGTCTTTCGGTAAAGTTACGTAGATAGGTTCAAAGAAAATAACAAAAAACTAAGACGTTTAGATCGCAACACAAGCGGCCGTCATCAGCAAAAGGCCATTGTTATTTTCTTTGAACCTATCTACGTGACTTTACCGAAAGACCCAAAGAATATCTAATATAACTTGAATTGTGCTGTTTGTTGCCGTCTGCTTGACATTTGGGCATTTGAGCGTGTGCGCAAGCTACTGCGTGTATTTGTATATACAGTTTAAATAATAACGGTCGACTCACCAGACAGCAGATTAAGCACGGTGGGAACTTGGTCAAGCAACATCCTCCTCAGCTCTTCCTTCCGCGCCACGCTGAGGTCTTCCCGCGGACATGCCAGCTCCTCTGACGTGGTTTTCAGCATCATGAGGCCGAGCGACACCATTTCTGGCTGCTGGATCAACTACGATAACAAAAAGAGGTGCAAGTGAAATTTCCAAGTTCTCTTCATCGCCGCCACTGCCATCACCAAGACACTGCTCACGGCAATTTCAGAACACGTGACGGTTTTCTGACACCGACTGCAAAGTCATCATCGGCAAATGAACACTAACGAAAAACCCAAGCGTGCGCGGCACCTGCAAGATGTTGGAAAAGAAGTCGTGGTAGAACATTGGCCAGTCCTGCCGCCCGATATCCACGATCACCTTGGCCAGCTTGTTGCGGATGAAGGTGGGCATGCCTTTGTGCTGCGCAAGCAGCAACTTTGGTAGGGAGCTGCGTATTTCTATCTTTTCTTGCGACGGGATGCCCAACCAGAGCTTGTTGATGAGATTCTGGGGACAGGAGAGAATAACAGAGCGGCATGACTTATGGTGCATTGCTAACTGCAGCTGCATTCCTGTGGCGTGCTCCAACTCGTCAACTCGGGCAGCCGTGGCAAGGTGCGTTACAGTCATGACAAGCAAATTTAAGTGCCTATGTGAATATTTTTGTCGCGAATGTATAATATACAATGGCATTACAATTGCTTATTGTTACGGCTACTCAAAACCTTTGTATGGCAAACCACAGCTTAGGTGCAGATTTCTCAGCGCCGTTTTTCGGCTCTTTATTGCTTTAAGCCCACACAAATGTTTGGAAAGTGACTTTGTGTATTTATTTTACCCCATTACTAATCGCTGATGCTGCACAGGCCACTTTGCTTCGCTATAATAAAATATTAAATTAAGGCGAGGAGTTTGCGAGGAGTGATGTCATTGCTCGTGTAAACAAAAACGCAATCAGAGATAATGGAACCATCATCGCTTTAACGAACACACCTGTCACAGGATTAACGTGTGTGTGTGTGAAATGCAGCAGTGGATGCACGCAGTTAAGTACAGTGCCATGACGCTTTCATATTTTAATAGGCTGTTTTCCTGTAAGCGTGGCACTGTGATATGGAATAACAAATGCACTCAGATAAACGAATAACAGACCAAAACGTACAACTACCAATCAGGAGAAACTAAACTTGGTTCAAACTACAAATATGACAAAGCCTTGCCCCTTCCTCCTGCTACTGTATAAGTATACACGTGACCCGATTACAGAGATACAATATTACTACCTAACCACGGAAATATTACAAAAATGTTTAGCCCTTAGTCTATCTACAGCTGGATGAAGTCCTCCTGATGCCCTCTGATCATGGGGGGTGTTTGAACACTAAGTTAGGGTGGGAGTAGAGGTGAAGTGGAGTGCCAAGGCCCGATTAAGATGTCGCCCGCTCACCACCGATCTTAGCCATGGCTAGGAATCAAACTCAAGTCGCAGCTCCCCCCCCCCCCCCACCGTTAAAAAGCTCACTGTACTGGTTTCTAAGCAACGGAACATTCGAAAGCTATCCATCGATGTTTTTGTATTGTTTACCGACAGGGAAATGCATTCAAAATCAGTTGGCTATTAAAACAACCCAACAAAGCAGGGCATCCAGGGCATGTTTGCCATGCGTGTACAAGTGCAACTCCCCGAGGTGTCGGGAATAGATGTGGCACAGGGCTTGCGGTTTTGACCGAGTGGCACAGCTGTTGTGCCCCCCCCCCCAAACTGTAAGTGATGCGGCGTGGCCCCGTGGACCCACCATGACTCACCTCAAACACGGTGAGACTGTACATCATGACGTACTCGTTCCGAGTGTTGGACAGGAAGTAGAAGCAGTGCCGCCATGCTCCGGTCTGTTGTGCAAAGTTATTGAGCAGCTCCTCTGGAGGAAAGAACGAGACCAGGTGGGGGTTGGTTTGGGCTTGCAGAAATATGCAGGAAGACATTCTGTACACAGCGAGTGTGAACATACACGCGAATAGCAGTACTCCATGCGGCGCTTGGGTAGGTTGTGACCGTCAAATTTCCACACGATGTTTTATAGTTTTTGAGACCCTAGAAAATTATACGCTTATTTACTCAGGAAAGCCTCGACGAGTCTCAAGATTAATTATCAGGAGAGTCCTGCCAAGTGTTCGTAGAATGGGCCGATGTTACAACAGTGTGCGTAATCCAAATTGGGTAATCAGCAAGTAATTTTTTGTCAGCATTGGGATATTTTGGCCAACACTGTGTACACTGTATAGGGGTTTTTTAGCTATTGGAGGAAACCAAAGAACCCGGAAGAAACCCATGCAGAATAGGGAGGGTAACCATACAAATTACACACACAGAGGCGCCCAAGTCAGTAATCGAACCCATGTACTTTTTGCTACGAGGCACGACAAGCGTTACCGCTGTACCACCCTATTACCCGAAATAATTTTGAACCAGAAGTATGACTCCAAGCGCACACAACAAGGATATGCAACAAACATGCGCATTACAGTCGTGCACTGTTGACTTTGAACTGGCACGAATGCTGAGCTGCAGTCAGTGCCGCTTCACGACACCCAAGCCTCGCCACGTGCCGCAGTCGCACACCTCACAGTACACAGATACAAACCAATTTCAATATTACACACTCTGCAAAAGCCCTGTACATATTTAATTGTATATTCCACACGGTCACTTTACCACGTTCACATTGTTCATTTCGAATACTATTTTTCAAATATCTTCATTAAGTCCATTGAGAAATATAACTCATTAAAAATAATCTCAGCAATAGGAAAATTTGATTCTAAATTAGTTTTTAGTTTCACTCGCCCACGTACACTCAGCGAAGTACAGTGTATAAAAAGAAAAGTTGTTTGGAACTGGGGTTGGCAATTCCCCGAAGCAAAAGCAACTTTTTGTTTATTCAATAAAAAAAACACATTCCACAAAATGTAGGCACAGTCCACGAAACAAGCAGCATGATAAAGTATATTTTTATTGAAATCTACGTTTAGCGTTCCACTGTTGCCGAGTTGCACTCTCTGGGTCACAATGGTGCCTTGGTGTCTGGCACAAGGCAGACCGGACACCTGAGCAGCATGCAAAATAACTTCCCTGAAGCGACATTCCGGTCATACTTGAAACCAACCTTCCCTCCCGCCCCCCGTGTTTATCAGAGTACAACTTTGACTTTTTCAATTTGCAATGGTCACATATACAGTTCAGAAAAAACATTTAACATTATAGCAAAAGCAGACGTGACTAATGACCTTAAGTGGGTTACTATCATGATGTAGCAGTGTTCTGGCCAAAATAATAAGTTCCATAACGTTTATTTCCTAAGTGTGTCCTTTACACGATGGGGAGCAGGGGTGTAGTGGTTTAACCACCAAGATGGAAGAAGGGAGCGAGAGGTCCTTGTATATCGGGACAAACCAGGTATGAGAACTCAACAACCACGCAAGTGGAGGTCAACCAGTGAGGTCTCAAGTACCTAGCTCTGTCAGCCACGGTAGTTGCGGCAAATGCTAAATGTATACCACAAATGGAAATGAGTAATGCAGAACAAGCTGCCAATTTTGATGGTTCTTATTGTGGAGCAATGTTCTGCGATTGACAAGTCATAAATTTGCATTTGACTATGCATATTTCTCAAAATTAAGATTTCAATCTGACATTATACAGATGGGCATCTACCAGTGCCAGTTCAAAATGTGAGTTTAATACAAAAACGAGGCTGGCTGCAATGCTGGCAACGTCTCGTGTTATTTACACCGAAATACCTATTTCCCATTCCCACATATACACAACATCTCAACAAAAACAATTCAGAAGCAGATTGTGTTAAATTAGGAAGTTCAAAATACAATATGACATTTCAGAACATGTGGAAAAAGGATATACACCCTGAAAATGCTAGTTCAGCACTTAAAGGTCAAAACTCGTGAAAATTCATTATATACTAAAATGATACCGTCATGGGGAAAATTTGATTTTTTAATTCTAGCTTATAACATGGTCCTATACTGCACCAACGACTGTGGACAAAAGCATTTTAGAAGAAAGTTGCTCTGTTAAGATCAACACCATGTTGTACGGGTTAGACTCTTCTGTGGGCCACTAAAACATGTGGGAAAAAAACATCCCTCCAAAACATAATGAACTCGTGTTCATTGGCTCCTCTGAGTCTGCGATATGGTCTGCTTAGACTTAATTTCACTTTAAAAAGTAACGAAACGCAGACGTTTCCATAACACGCCAACAGCACTTTACTCTGCTGTAAACGTTTATCCCCCAGAAGCAAGTACTGTACTGCATTAAGTCATTAAAACATACACGGTTTCAAAAGAATTGAATACACACTCTTAAAACATAAGTCCTGCCAAGTTGCCTTCGTTTAAAGCCACAACACAAAAAAAATGTTTAAAAGCCCTCGCCTGTGCAATGGCCGATTCTGGTTGGCTTATCGATGAAGCCCATCTGACCCACAAGTTGGGTTTCTCAGCAGCTGCTGCATCCTGATATTGGCAGTAACACTCCACCCCAAACCAAGTTGGCACCACCGCAATCTTATTACACGCGTTTACATTTAAAAATGAAGTTCAGCATAGCATACGTGAATAATAGTGCAGCTGATTTTTCCAATACTACTTGATAAACGACACAACATAGGAGGAACATAGAGTAACTTTTATTTAAACCATAAACAGCGCATAAAAAAATTATGATTCTAATCACATGGTAATCTTCATCATTATCAACATTTGAGTTCATGAAGCCTCGACAGTATTGGTTAATATAGTGATTGGCAGACAAATTAGTTTTCTGCATAATTGTATTCAACAACAAAACAATTGGAACACACGTATGTTCATGACATGACAGACCAAGCACATGTAACCTTCAAAATGTTCGTAGGAAAAAAAAAACCTTGCTATTGTTTACAGCAGAATTCACAAAACAGTGTTCAGGAAGTTTAACACGTAGGCTTTCGCGACCAATATTATTCATAATAAAGGTTTTTGGGTAAGATCGCGTTACTTATAAATGTGTCCTAACCCTCCACCATCCGACACGGCCAATCAGCAAAAAAGTGTCACTTTTTTTGCTGATTGGCCATGTAAACGTTTACACAATAACACACATTACAACTAATTACTCATCTACAACTCATTACTAATCATAACCATTGACTGATTACAAATCGATTATATAATTACAATACCCCCCCCCATTCGCCTCAAATCACTGCACCTGAATGAGTTAAATGATCACGTTATTTACTGCTCGAATGAAGACCGGGAACAAGTGAGGGCTTTACCATTCTGGCGAATTGCCCGATGATGCTGGATGTAATTTACCAGCGAAACGTCCTACTCAAACTGTAAATGTTGTGGATTCACTCTTCAACACACCGGTGGGCTAAAGTAGTGAACTATTTGTCTTTTGTCAACCTGACACTTTTTTTCTGATTGGCCGTGTCGGGTGGTGGAGGGTTATGACACATTTATAAATAACGCGATCTAACCCAAAACCTTTATTATGAGTGTTCAGGAAGTGAGTAGTTGTGTAGATTGCCATCAGCTGACCCCACACAGAACTGTAGTTGGACAGTGTAATTATTGCAATTGAGTTTGCATCAAGCAAGATAACAGGTGAACTCTCACAGCCATACTAGTACATTGCATGAACTCTGATTTGGGAACAAAAATTACACTGTTAGTTCACATGCCCACATGTCAATCAATTCACAGCCTTGACTGATGAAGTTGTATCATGTGACGTGTTTTAATTTTCCTCCAATTGCATCCTGATTGTGTAATTTGGCATCACGTCATGCGGCGAAGTATCCATTTAAATCTCTGGCAATGCTGCGCAACTTCCGTGTTCGAGAATGGCCCATGGAGGAAACTGTCATCACAGAGCTACCTTCAAGCAATGTCTGTTAAAACACTGTAAGGGGGCAGCAATTTTCACCCAATTACACCATTCAGTAAAATGACCATCACACGACAGTCAAACCAGTTGAAACTTAGCCGAATTAGGCACAGAAACTAATTTAATGTTGATGGTTTTATTATGCAATCATTGGCGACCAGGCTGAGACCATCAACTCACTGCACCGGTTTTTACTCACAGGCGCCTTTGCTTTCTGGATTCGAACCCAGAATCTCGAGCACAGCGTTCTCACCTCTCAGCCGCGAAGTCACCTCAAGGGAGTGGATTTTTATTGTACAGTAGGTAAGAACCGCTGATCAATATTGACCTATGTGAATGTGTTTTTAAGCAGACTATTAAAAAATGTGTGTGAAAGCAACACAATGCACTGAATATGCCACTTCAAATAAAACACAGTTTGGTGGCATTTCAAAAATAAATAAACTAGCCGGCAGCAACTCAGCCATGTGCATCTCTTTTATCATGAACGTTTAATTATAAAAATGTTCTACCTTCTTAAATGTCCCAGCGAACTTCTTTATAAACCTAGCATGCATCAATGCACGTAAACTTACTTTCAGTCAAATCCAACGCATTACTCAACAAGAGGGGTGGGATGCAGGAAACGTTACACTCACAATAAAAAAAAAACATTTAACAGCTTTATTTAGATGCCACACAATCCATGCAGAGTTGGGGTTTTGGGTGTTATATGCGCTCATATTGGAACTGCTGTGTTCTGCAAGCACCGCCCTGGGACGCATGCACTTAAAGTTGAGACAAACAAAAACGTGCAACAATGACTCACCTATCTCTCTTTTCCTTTCATTCGTGGTAGAATTGTGAAAAAATTCAGTCATGATGTTTTCCAGAGCCCGTAAGGACGATTCGTCGGAAGCCTGAAAGAGACACGGTAATACACACGATGTCATGTATGCTTGCACTGACATTTGCAACACACGTGCGCAAGCACAAACACCAGAGAACATGAGAACAAGCAAAGGCCATTCAGCCTATAATACATACTCGTGTGACTCGATGATGCTGCTGGACCCACGCACACTGTTTACTCATAGTCAGCAAGCTGCCATTCACTGTGCACAAAGACACGAACGCATGCCTGCAATTCGGTCAGATTCAGTTGATGCCTAATATAACCACAATGTTATTGCATTAATCTACAGCACTACGTTGCATTACGTTCGCACTATAGCACCATATCTTGTGAGTCGAATAAGGTGTTATAATACCTTGCAATCTGTATGTTGAGCTATATAGCCATTAGGTAATGTTTTCTGGCAACGGATAGCGGGATCAGCAGTGGTAGTATACCCGTAAATAATTTCCTTCATTCAAAGCAGTTATGTAGATTCTCCTTAACCAAGCACAATACGTAACGGCTTGCAATCATTCGTACAAACAATTCGGTATACCTGAACGTTTCTACATGCGTGCATGTGCGTGCACAGCCCTTTTGTGAGTTATTTGACAATACATCACCACGCTGCTTAGTGCGGGTTGGTCCAGTCAGTGCGCATAGACGTATGGAGCACAGTACAGGATAACAATGTGTTCGCTGCATTTCCCTTTGCTGCATGTTGAACTTCTTTCGCACTATACGTAGCCAACCGTGCTAATTGGATGTGCTGACAACATAGCCCCTACAGCAGCCAACAACAACGAACATATATGCAAAGCCGTCACCCACCAGGGAACTATCTGGGCTCAAACCTGCTTCACTTCCGAGATTGACAATATCAGGCAAATTCAAAATAATTTGGTCATATGAAATAACACGTTTACAAAAACAAAGATTTAGCATATGAGTTTTATTATTGGAGCTAATACTTGTTTAAAACACTCATTCTAACGTAAAAGAGACAAACTGCTAGACGTTGGATAAGAGCCTAACTGGTATGAACACGTAGGTTCATATACTTAGTCACAGCTCGGATGAGGTTTGGCTCGTGTGAGCCGGCTCTACGCGTGGGTCCCAGGATTTCCTTGAGCCGAGCCTGGGCCAAGCCATGAACGAGCCGCTCAGGCGTCTTGAGAAGCAAGCGAGCAGCGTTAGAGGCCGAGCCAGGGCCGAGATGTGACTAAGAATACGGCCCTGAAGGGATATCAGTAAAATTAGAGGTACTGAAATTAGGGCCCTCATTAACGCATTCCTGGCAAATGCGTGCTGTAATTTTTCTACGTTATATGCAATAGCCTGTTACAACACTTCACTGTGAATGTGCAATATGCTTCATTGGATGTACATTATTACTTTAGTTTAAATGACGTTTCTAGTGATGCTATGGCCCCATGAAATTTTCAATGTCGTCCAAAAAAGTGCGGCATCAGCAACAAAACCCAACCCATCCAACAGACACCACCAATTCTTTACACAAGCCCAGCAAGGGGGAATGGCGTTGTCAGTGTTGCCCCAGGAGCACGAATAAACGAACACCTCCGATTAGCACGCATGGTTACGTACGGTGCGAAAGAAGTTCAACATACAAAACAATACATGGTGAAGGGCGCTCGCTGTGCTCTCGACTTCATTAATGAAGTATCCGCGACTACTCTGCCACTGCCTCAAAACACGAACCTGCTTCATGTTGACGTTACAAAGCGTAGCAGATTTGCAAATTATGTACTTACGCCGTCGTTTTCAACGACGATTAAATATATTTAGAGGAAAACACCGCTGGATTGCAATTAGGGGGCTGAAGTGGAATGGTTGGCAAATTCCTTTCAAAGGAGTGTTTTTCTCAGCTCCTCGTACTGTGTAGTATGTTCGTGCAATACAGTATCTGTATACTGCTACACGGAATACGATGTAGTGTATGCATATAAAACACGGCCATGTATAGTTTGTGTGGACAATGTGTATGCAATTTAGCATGTCATATGAGTCGATGGGTGTGTATACGTCGATGTGCGAGTCGATGTGTAAGTCGATGTATGTGTATTCCATGTGTGTAAGTCGATATGTGTGCGTGTAAGTCGATGTGCGTGTAAGTCCATGTGTGTGTGAGTCGATGTGTGTGAGTTGATGTGTGTGCGAGTCGATGTGTGTGTGAGTCGATGTGTTTGTGTGTGTGGGTCCATGTCTGTAAGTCGATGTGTCTTTTTCGCCCGGGCAACGGACGAAAAACACACTTCCCGCTAATATCATATAATGTAAGGTGGACACGTAAAATTAAAATGAGTGCTAACGTACACGATACAACGGTAGTGGGCCGTGGCTCGCAATCGTAAGGGTTGGGAGTTCAAATCCTGGTCGACTCAACCCATCATTCCTTCGGGGTCGATAAAATTAAAATCTGTGGCCAAGTCAACGGTGGCTTGTCCATGGAACTGGTCATAGACTCGCCCCCGCCGCAATGCTCATTTGAGCAGGAAATCACTTAGACCTTGACCTGACACAGTATAACGCGCGACAGTCCACAAAGTAAATCAACAACACCACCACCACAGTGCCACACGAATTAGAAAAACAAGACAGGGGCGGACACTCGAGGCTGCCGAGGGGCTTATAGGCCTCGCGAGCCAGCCGGGCGAGCGGGCGGCACTCACCATTCTCAAGCGCCTTCCTCGCTCCCTCTACCGCCTCCAGACCCCACTGCTCATCCCTGCGCGACAAACACCTCGCGGGAAACCTTTTATTTTAGCTTTAAGGGGAAATTAAAAACGAAAGCTCAATCGGGGCGCCGTGAGCGGCTCGGGTGAAGGCAGCCTTAATGGAGGCGGCCGCGCCTGCCGAGAACACACGCAGCTCGGGACACCGCGATCACAGCGAAACCTTCAGCTTCCCGAGAGACTAAACTTGGCCGGACGTCGCCCCGAATCTCCCCCGCCACCCCGCTGTGACGAGGCCGCTACAGAGGCAAGCCGTTAGTCGCTGCTGCACCCGCGCCGTACGCTCTGAGGGGCGAGCGGGGACCACTCCCACAGCCAGGGTCCTCTCACGCTCGCACGGATGGGAGCGGCCAGGCCTGGGCGTGCGCCGTGGCGTCACACAATACGCGGTGACGTCACGCCCGTGCGTGGTGACGCCAACGAGGTAACAGAAGCGTGCGCGTTCTGACGTCACGCCCTTGCCGTCGGTGTCGGGGAGCGGGTTGCGCGATGACGTCAGAAACAAATGCCCTAAAGCGGAGTTGCGGGGTGGATGACGCAATTAAAGAGAGTGGGGGGGTGACCTCACGTGGTGACGTCATCATATCGCGACTGCTGGGACTGCGAGGGAGGTGCCCCCATTGGCTGTGGGGGTTTCCTCCTCCTCCCTGTTGACTGCATCCACCGTGAAGCCGCGTGACTCGTGTCCTCTGCTCGCTCGTGAGTCACCCAGCCTTGTTAGGAGTTCAGTATCTGCCGATGGCCCTTCTCATCGTACAGTGATGAAGAAGAGCCATATGAGAAATCCATGCCCGAAATGGTTTTGTTCATAGCCGCTCACGTCTGATCCCTACTGCATATGCATTGCCCGAAACGTCGCCAATGATATGCTTTTCCCTTTAAGACAGTAGTTAATGACGAATGCGTTGAGTGTTTTTGTATATTCGTGCTCATGCACTCCTGCCAACTCGCTATCGCCAAACAATGCTGTTACAAAAACACACGCGCGCGAACTTGTCACAGCTGTACCTGTCTGTGTGGGAGGTGCCGTAATTTCACATAATTTATCATTCAGTCGCGCATTCGTATATCCCGTTTCAGCGCACTCCCGCCAACAGGCCATTGCAGGGCTGCGCCTTCACTATCCCCACATAAGATGGCCGCCGTATTTGCACGTGGGTGACGCGCGGGGGCTTATGGGGCTTACTCAGCGGGGGGCAGGGGGGAGGAGTCCGCGCTTCCACTGGAAGATGGCGGCAGTACACAAGGCGGCGAGCGTCGCGGTCAAAACCGTGAAGCCCATCCTGTCCCGGGACGTGGACGAGGCCAAGCGCAGGGCCCGGGACCTTTACAGGGCGTGGTACAGGCAGGCGCCCGTCGCGGGTGAGTAACGGAGTGCGCTGGGGCCGGCGATGGGAACGACCGGGCCCTGGTCTAAGGTCACCCTGGTTCATAATAAGCGGCTCTCTCACCTTGTGTCGCCCGTCTCGTTTATGAAGCAGCTCCTACACCTCGCCTCCCCGCGCCCCTTGTCTGTTACTTTCACTTCTCATGTCTTGCGTCTCTGAAGTGCCACGTCTCCTGCGCCTTTAAGCAAAACCCCAATCTTGTGTCTAGTGCCTCTCTTACCTTACCTTGTCTGAAATCCCATATCTCTTGTATCTGTTATGGCAAGTGCCTCAATACCCCGTTTGGCACATGCCTTTGAGGTTTGCTTATAGCCACTCATGCCTGATCCGTGATGCATGATACATGAGCAGCAGTGACTGGGGTAAGTTGTCCTAGTGGATGGAGGCGCCTAAATAGTCCATGGGCCAGAGCTGAATATGGTACAGTACCACTCACTACTAGAGGCTGGCCAATGTTTAATGGTACTGGGTTTTTTATATAGACTAAATGTGATATCTACACATTTGAAAGTTGCCACTTTAATTGAGAACGTACACAATTGTTACCGTTAACATTTTGCCACATCAAGTGTTGCCAATAGGTGAGATATATGGCGTGGTTCCATGAAACATAAGTCATAGGTGTAATATCTGGAGGTATTAGGATGGCCACAGGGAATCTGGTATCGAATTCTATTATTTCCGGTTCCCGGCGGAATTTTTCGGGCGGTTGGGACTACGTGTAATTCCGCGTCCTCAGACTTGGGGCAAGTGCCGTTAGCAAGCAGCACCGATGAAGGACAGCACGGCACACGAGGGGGTGGGTGGCCAGCTCCACGCCCGGTACTCATTTGAGGTGGAATCGACTTCGGGGAGGTTTTGCTAACTTTTTCAGTACTCATGCCCCTGGCGCGATGGGCCAATGTGGGTTTGGCAATGCACTCATTGTATGCCACTGAGCGTATAGGACAATTTGTGGACATATATATAACTGGAGTTGAGAAATGCTGTATTGAAATTAATGTTACGTACTAAATCTTACATTCATATTCCCCACAGTGCATTGTTTCCAGCTGGACATCACCACAAAGCAAGCAAGAGATAAAGTGCGCGAGATGTTCAACAAAAATGCTCTCGTGTCCGACACACGAGTCATTGACATGCTGGTCATCAAGGTATATGTTCATACCCTTCATTGTACTGTTGAACTTATTTCGCACCGTACGAATCCAACCGCACGAATAGGTGTAATTAGCGATGGGACAATCACTCTCCTTCATCTTGCCTAAAATAAAACCCTTGGTTAACCATTTTTTTGTAACAGAACGTGTGCGGTTGTATGAATGCCTAGGATATTACTCGGTTTGTAATATTCAAACAAAGTTGGTTGCACAGGTTAAAACAGTGAGATGTTATCATTCCTTATAGTTTTTTCCCCAACCATTTATTTCTGCAGGTAACAGTTGGTTTGTCTGCTCTCCTTAAAAAAAAACACATTGAACTTTAACTACTGAAATCGTTTTGCATGCTTCGTGGATGTTCAGACCCGACCAGCAGCTCTCTGAATGCGGTGTTTGCGTTCCCCCCACCTTAGGGAAAGATGGAGTTGGATGAGACCATCAATGTGTGGAAGCAGAGGACGCACATTATGCGATACTTCAAAGAGTCTGAGAAACCGCGACCGACTGACTTTTTGTCCAAGTTCCTTGCGGGACACAACCCTTGACAGCAAGATACCACCTTTTACACAAGAGCTAAGAGACCCGTGCACAGTATGGGCCGTGGATATGATTTGAGAAGCAACATTAAACGTTACTTCATTAGCAAGGATGAGCCATCACAAATGTTACAAAGTGCTAATGTATCTGATATGGCCCATACATTCACAAGTTAATTTGTTCATGCAAGACATTCACTATATGTTATAAGTCTGCCTGTAAGATGTAAACACTACTTGTTATTTTTGAAATTAAGGTAAAAACACCCTTGTTTTTTTCCTGAAATAAGCAATACATAAATTGAAATTGGTGTTTCTAGGCTGATAGGAAAACAAATACCACACCAACATGCAACATTTTTACTATTTACTCATTCTAAACTTCAGTTTGAATATCTTGAGCACTTTGTGATAACTGTTATGACTAACACTTGTTACCTGTTAATAGCATGCCATACACTGGGTTAATGTATGTGTTGCAAAACCTTCCTGCATTGTGTCGTTGTGGATATAATGCCAAGCATGAATAAAACTCTGAAAATGACTGCAATTTTTTTTTATTGCAGTGTGTGCCTTAGCCAAGGTGCTATGGTCCTTATTACCGACCATGGTGCCAATGACACCATTAACCATTTGCCATCAAAGGCTTGTGAAAAATGTCTAATACCCAAGTCCTAAGCAATTAAAATACAGATAAAAGGCAATGAAACTTAAAATTTGATTTATTGCTTTTCCTTTATGTACATCCATTAGGCTTGGTCACATAATAAATATACTTGGGATGCAGTACATTTTTGTATGTATAATTGGACACTGAAATTATTAAATTTATTTTCCATTGCCCATTACTATGATTGTCTGGTTGACAGTAACAATGTTAACATTCCAGAGCGTTAATGCAAAACAACTATGGTATTTTTAGTTGCAGCCTAAAAACAAGTCAGACGAATGTAGAGTGACAGTGTATGATGCTCCCAATCTCCAGGTTTTAAATTAAGTGGACATCGCAAACATTGGAATACAGCAAGATGTATAGTAGAGAACAAGATACAACCAGTGGCTCGTATCCAGAGGGGAAGAAAATACACAACACTTCTGTGATATACACTTACCAAATATTCTATACCATGAATTAGGCATGTATTCTCGCCCCAAAGCTTACCAATTTGTGTAATAAAGTTTGGTAGATGTTAACCAATCGCCTTCGTAGCAAGCAGTACTCGTCATGCACAATGTGAAACGGGAATTTAACGGAGCTGCACTACCTATTGGAATGCAAATCCTTTTGCAATGTATACGTGTACATTTTCCTAATTACGTAATTGGTTTGAACCACAGCTTGTTCAGTCCTCTGAAGATTGTTGCCATATAGAATATCAAGGAGTGTTTCACACCATTTGTGTACGGAGCAAGACCTTAATGTATTTGAGCTCAAGGTGGCAGCATTGCACAAGAGCTTCCCATAGACCAGCCACTGGTGGAGGACATGCAGAAAACACAACACGTCGTGAAACCATCCTGTCATTCATGCAGGTACGAGTAAGGCCATCGGGAGGTTCCACTTGTGAAGACATTCAATGCCAACTTTGCACTGCCCTAAAAAAACAACCAAGGATTGAGATGTCAGTTGCCAGCTTTGTAATTAGTATTAACAAATAAAACCATGTTGATGCAAACTAAAGAAGCATGTACACACGGTGTCTAAACAATACTACGTATATCAGTGAAACAGCTAAAAGGTGTTGATAATGGGCTCGAGGTTTAAGAGTAATTATTGTGCATACGTTAATCGTCGTCGTCGTCATCGTCTGGCACAAATATGTCGTGTTCTTCCAGCAGCTCGGCTCCTTTCTTGCTCGCGATGGCTCCGAGGATAAGAAATGGGATAACCACCGTGAACACCTTTGTCAGTCCCAGTGAGACCTGGCAGCCAACCACAGGAGAGACAAAGCGCACACACACAAACGTCACCTTGTGCGAATCGATAAGTTGGATTGTCGTTAATACATTCATAATTGTGATCCTGCTGATGTAAGGATATTTGTTGCTGCTTAAGATGCCGATGATGTGGCCGAGTCGACCGTGCTAGCATTTGCAGCATTCACAAAGTCGCATTTGTAGGACTCCTGCACGACACACTGAGCGATATAGCAATAGGTTTGACCCTTTTTGGCATAAAACAGGTGTTGAGATGTTAAAAAACACAAAACAATCCTTTTTCAAGGAATCCTGTCTGCAATAACCACACGTACTTGTGGTGAACAGGCAAAACAGACAGCTTTCAAAGACTGCATATATTATACTGGTTTTTTTTCGGTAAAGCCATGTGGGTAAAATAAAATAAATGAAACAAGGCAATTCAATCACAACGTTTCGGAGGCAACACAAGCTTCCGTCTTCAGGTGGAAACCGTCACAGCAAAATTGCTGTATCAAGTGATACAAGTGATACAGCAATTTTGCTGTGACGGTTTCCACCTGAAGACGGAAGCTTGTGTTGCCTCCGAAACGTCGTGATTTAATTTAATTGTTTTCATTTCTTTTATTTTACCTACGTGACTTTACCGAAAAAAAACAGAGTATGAATCCATGCAGTCACGAAAGCTTCAAATCTAGAATGCATATATTATCAGAGCATGTTATTTGTTCGCATGTTCACCACAAGTTCGTGTGGTTAATGCAGACAGGATTCCTTAACACCCGTTTCATTGCCAGAAAGGGTAAACCCTATTATAGTTTGACAGCCAAGAAAGGTGTCCCACATTGTCGCTGCACACTTAGCCATCACCGCAGCTGTGAATACAGAATGCAGTTGCAGTGCTGCGGATCCACCGGAGGCGGCCCCCACTGCTCTCAAAGCGGAGCGAATTGCGTCTCATTCTCCCGACCAATCCTGCACATCGTCAGCATTGAATGCAATAAATACAAATGTGAATGCACTGCTGTTTGCTCGTGTTGAGTACATAGATCCTAAACAACGATTAAATTATAACAATGTGATAAACATGTCACCCCTAACTCTTTACTTCGAATTGAATAATCAACAAAACACGGCCACTGCCCTGGATAATGTATTCTATAGAATGGACACCACACATCCTTCTGGTTAATCACCGTAAGTACACCAACACGACACCCTTGTCACCGTGAAACAAAGTATTGATGTCACATCTCTTTGACCGCATCTCGGCGAGTACATTGTTCTTGAGAATCTGACTCCGCACTTTGCTGTAAATTGCCCTGAATCAAACATTAATAGTGGTGTTAGGCAACATAATAAAAATGTGAATTATTAATCGTGACTTTACACGTCAAGTTTGACAGCCATGTTATACCGAACCCCATCGCGTCGCTATCCGGTGTCACTTTCACGCCTCGTAAACAAACCACGTGGATTGCAATGCTTTGGGAAATCCTACACCACGATTACTCGCCTTCAACAAAGCAAGTGGCGAACACAAACAAACAAAACCAACAATATGAAGAGGACCCCACGACTACCAACTCCCCTCCCTCCCACACCGCCGCCGCCACCTTCTCCGGCTTGGGCAGAATGGCTCCCGTGGTCGTCTCCGCGAGACCCCTGGTCGGGATCGCTGTGCCACCGGCGCAGCGTGGCGAGGCCGAAACGATCCGCTTGAGGAAGCCGGAGCGACTGGTTGCGAACGCGCCCGCTGTAGCCCCGGCCCGGGCCGTCACACGGAGCCCGAGCACCGCGCCCAGAGACGCCGCCGCTGCCGCCATCTCCTCCTCCTGCTGGCTCCTCCACACGAAACCTAAGAATCGCGCCCGCGCACCCTCCACTTACATTCCCCAGCGCGCATCGGGGCCCGGCCGCCCCTGATTGGTCTTCGCCGCGGCTCGCCGCCAGTGACCGGCGACCAATCGGAGCCCGCGACACGGACGCCGGGCGGCTTATGCGTTGTGGGAAATCCAATGCGGGGAATCCCGGAAGTTAAGATTTATCGCCATTCGCTGCGTGCGAAAGCGCGGATTATAAGACGCAGCTACGCAACCTTCGCGTTCCAAGATCAGGGTTTCAGTTTCATTTATTTTGTATAGCCCTGTGAGCCATTCGGCTCTTGAATCGGGTGCAACCGTAACAAACAAAAAACATGAACAAGAAAACATCTTAAAGTGACGATGCGCAAACAGGAAAAAAACAGCAAAATCTTCCAGAAAAAGCACCGTACACCAACGCTGTGTGCAAAAATCCCAGTGAGATGCAAGTCAAATAACAACCACAAGACACTTAAATTAAAGCCATCAGTCTAACGCCGTACTACAACAAACAAACATGGCCAAACCAAAACACGTTTTCGAATTCACTAAAATAAAGCCATAAAAGCAATGTAATAGTGATCATAGGAACTGTGACCGAAATTTCACAATAAACGACAAACAACATGTAACACCAAACCCTGTAGCCATAGCTGGCTGTGCATGAGTCACTTCACAACAGCAGGAGCATCAGTCGGAGTATCAAAATGTTTCAATGCACCTTTAAAGATCAGCACACTAAATCAAAACACAAGATCATATTCTTTGGTTCTTTCGGTAAAGTGACGTAGAATGAGAATAAAATAATAAATTGATAAATAAAATAATAACATTCTCACGACGTTTCGGCCACAACACATGCGGCCTTCATCAGGTGAAGGGACGAGACTGTCTGGAGGACAATCTTGTGTTTCGATTGAGTGCAAGTGTTGATATTCTGCACCCACGCCTTCATAGGTGCTCGCTAACAGCACTTGCCCCAATAGTCTATTAAGGCTACATGGGGGATCTTTGTATGTGTTTTTTAACCTTTCACCCTTTGGCTTCCCAAGATATCTCAGCGCGATTGCGCTGTTGGCGTCACGCATGGCACGAGATGAGGAATGCATTTGGATCTTGTGCAACACTTCCTGTTACAAACCCAGCATGGTCGTCAATAATGGCCCTTATTCATAGCGCAAAGAATCCAGAGGTAGTCTCTACCATTCTGGCCTGGCACTCGTGAAAACGTAAACTTCTTTAGCACCGTACGTAGCCAACCGCGCTAATCGGAGGTGAAGGGGAAAGGATAACAACCTAAACACGACAAGTAGTTCTAAAGAAATTAGTTTTCACTCTAGATTTCAAAGTGCATAGCTCCAGTGGGCTCCGAATATCGGAAGAGCGTTCCAGACGGCCGCAGAAGCGCATCTGAAAGCGCGCCTGTGCTGTGAAGGGCCATTGCTCCGAAACGTCACCTGTTATATAAATGTTAAGTTTGCTGCCGTTCGTGTATTACTGCTTGCACACGACTGCCAATGCAGCGTTGTCGCCAACGTCTCGAGAGCGGTCCGCAGGATCGGACACCGCACGAGGGAGCCCGCACGACCCCTGGCAGCTGCCGCGCCACGTGCGCCCTGGGACGGCGCAGCCCGCGGGTGACACACCCCAAACGTGTGCCGGTGTCAACACTGACTCGTTCGACGAATCTGGCTGCGTACCCACCGGATTATAAGACGCAGCTCCTCCCAGCCTTTTGCAGGGGGTGGGGGCGGTGCGTCTTATA